AAAATTGACCCGCAAAGAATTACTCTAATAAAAAATAGAAAAGATGATGCAGCTTTTCAAGCAGATTTAAAACATTGTAGAGGGCGTAAATCCACTACTCAATGATGCAATCCTCTTTTATTATCCATTAAAAATCCGATATTTAGTGACTCTGGAATATACGCAATAGTGTTCTTGTGTTCTAAAATTGTTTCAGTACTTTGTAATAGAAAAATAAAGTTGAATTTTGAAAATTACATACAAATAACAATTTTAAAGACTAATAAACCGGCCTTAGAAAATGATTTGAATTCCTTAACTGAAGCAATAAAAATTGAAACAGGACAAGATATGAATGAAAACACTTGGTTAAAATGGGTGCAGTATACTGCCCATACCTTGACCACAGAAGACTGTGTGGTCTGTTCTGCAGCCAGACCGCGGTTAACTACTACATCTGTGCCATATTTTAATGAAACAGACCTGACCTGTATCCTTAAACTTTTCACTAGAAAATCATTTGACAAAACTAATGAATGTTATCACCTCCACCATAAATTACCAGCAGTAACTTCAAAAGATGTTCCTACATCTTGGATTATGGGCCTCTCCGAATATACTTGTTTTCTTAGAGATACTGTTGTAGGTATAGATACAGGTAATACTGATAAATCTGAAATAGAAAAATTCAATGACAATTTCTGTAACAGGACTTTGTCTTCTGACAATTATAAAGAATTTGCTTTCTTAACTAACCACTCCATTGCTCGCGCAGATATTTGGTGGTTGTGTTCAGATCTGCGTTTATATGCTATTTTACCAAAAACATGGTCAGGCATCTGTGCACCAATAATGTTATTTGTCCCATTCACCATAGGCCCAGCGAATTCACTTTTGAATCTGAAACAGACTCAACTACCCCACAGATCTAACTTAAGAGATAATTACGTGCACAAGAGGTCATTGTCTAATCCATCTAAACCCAAAATTCAAGGTTCATTTAATGATGATATTTACCTCAGTGCTATTGGAACACCTGTAGGGGTCCCGGATGAATTCAAAGCTCAAAGTGAAATTACGTCAGGGCTTCTTTCAGTTTTAATGCCTGGAATAGCAGCTGCTAAAAATATTGTTAGGATAAATTATCTTTACTACAATCAACAAAGGTTCATAAATTATATGATTGAAGCATTGGAGGGCATCGTTGAACAGTTAGGCCCTACCTCACTTATGGCTTGGCAAAATCGAATTGCCCTTGATATGTTACTTACTTGATTACCTTAGCTGTCCTAGTTGTAATTGGATGTTGCATCATCCCATGTCTCAGATCACTAGTAGAATGATTAATCACCACTGCCTTAACACGAAATGCTCCCGTCTCCCAAATTTTGTTACTCTGCTGATTCTCAGCTCTCACGTCCTGACTCCAGTGATTGGGTTTGATTGAAACCCTACAGATTTATCCATTGATTAAATAGAGATAAAACCTTCCTGAGTATGTGCTCCTGGTCTCTTATTTTCGCTGTCCGAGTGTCATGTATTGATTGTGTACTATGTTATTCAAGTGTATTATGTTAACAAGAATCTGAGAAATGTTATAAAAGAGCTAAGGCTAAAAAACAATAATAAAATTTTATTTACTCATATATGGGCGTTTATTATGTGGAGGTAGCGTCTTGCTCCTCTTATTTTGGGTTGTGATCACATGTTTGATGTGATCAAAAAGGGGAATACTGTGGGAAATATTCTGTGTTGATCATTTTGATTCACCCAATATTTTGTACCTTAGAATGACAACAGGGTGAAAAACACATATGTTTATCTATAGTTCTATAAGAGACATGTTTTTCTGGACTTTGAGATGCCACGAAGCAGAAACCTGATGTATGTGAACCCCGAGGCATGTACCCACCCATGATAAAGTGCACCGGGTCAGCATTATTGTTCATTTTCTTACTGTATATGCTAAATCAACAAGTTAATGTTTTGTCAGATGTGTGGTATAAAGCTCCTCCTCGTTGTGAGTTGGGCAGAGGCGTCGTTCCGGGGTGACACTTGTATTTGGTGATCAACACTGAATCTCTCTGAATGGAAAATGCTGAAATAAAGTGGCCTGTTTCTCGGACCTTCCATCTTTTATGCGTCTTTCTAGGACACGAACTGAACCTCCTGAAAAAAACCCACACGTGCTCCTCGTTCACTTCCTCGGTCACTCTCCCTCTTGAGCTTTCACACTTCATAACACCAAACTCATGTTGGACATATTTGGAACTTCAGAGGGCGTTTCTAACCAAATACTTATTAATTTTCTGTGTAAATGAAATGTAAATGATCGTGGTGTTCGTCGCTCGGTGTTGGTAAATTCAGGACAACTGTCACTTAAGAAGGAATGTGGGATCTTAAAAACACTTTGTGAATCTGGCTCAGTCTCTCAGCAGCTTCTAAACGTGGAAGTTACAAACATTTTTTAAGAAGATTCATTAATGAGGCCCAGTGTGTCTTTAGTTTCTTTGGCAGCAAAAACAAAAACACAAGTGTGTTTCATTCAAATGTGTTCATTTTATTGGTCAAATGTAAATAGAACATTGAGCACATTTCTTTTTTATATGAAACTTTTAAGTGGCTCCACGAACAAAACGCCTCTGAAACTATGACTGTGTGAACAATATACAAATATATGAATGGAACACTCTGGCACGTGGTTATAGATCATTTTTTTTGAAAGAGTCTCGTCCCAGTGTGGGCGTGGTTCTGTCGGACGCTCCAGAGGATCAGATCTTCTATGATTTCTACGGGTCGTCTCATTTCAAACTAAAGCAAAGTTCTCTGGCCTTAACAGGAAGTAGACTGCACCTGGATCCTGTGCATCAGAATCATTTCAAACCAAAGCCTCAAGTCTGTGAACAGTGTGTAATGTTCTAAGATCAGATTTGAACTGACTGGAGTGAGTTTGTGAAACATCAGTAAAAGAAAATCTGAAAACACAAAACAGCCACAAAAGAAGGATTATAAAAAGAGTCACTAAACAATAGAACAAAACAGTGACTCTGTATTTACACAAATGGACTGAACATCCCTCACACCCGACCCGGTCCAAGTCCAGGACTCACACCCGACCCGGTCCAAGTCCAGGACTCACACCCGACCCGGTCCAAGTCCAGGACTCACGCCCGACCCGGTCTAAGTCCAGGACTCACACCCGACCCGGTCCGAGTCCAGGACTCACACCCGACCCGGTCCAAGTCCAGGACTCACGCCCGACCCGGTCCGAGTCCAGGACTCACGCCCGACCCGGTCTAAGTCCAGGACTCACACCCGACCCGGTCTAAGTCCAGGACTCACACCCGACCCGGTCCGAGTCCAGGACTCACACCCGACCCGGTCTGAGTCCAGGACTCACACCCGACCCGGTCTCAAGTCCGGGACTCACGCCCGACCCGGTCTCAGTCCGGACTCACGCCCGACCCGGTCTAAGTCCAGGACTCACACCCGACCCGGTCTAAGTCCACGTCTCAGGTGGATCTGATCTGGTCTATCTCCAGGTCCTCTGAGGTCCTCTCTCTGGCGCCCCTTCTGGCCCGGACCTGAAACAACAGGACACAGCAGATCCACACGTCACAAAACCAGGACCACAGACTGAAGAAGTTTTCTGAGGGAGCGTGACGACACCCACAGTGTTCAGCTCCAAATGACACGTGATTGGACAGATTCAATTCAAGTTTATTTATACAGCACATTTAAAACAACTTCAGTTGACCAAAGTGCTTCACACACAAGTCAACAACACAGAAGAAACAGTTACATATACACATATACAGAAAACATGTGAAAACTACAATAAAACACCAAGATGACCTGACGAACTCGAACTAAACACCAGGGAGAAGAGGTGAGTTTTCAGTCTCGTCTTAAACTGTGTTACAGACTGAGAGGATCTGACAGGAAGAGGAAGGTTGTTCCACAGTCTGGGCGCTGCCACAGAAAAGTCTCTGTCTCCTCTCGTCTTGAGTCTAGTTTTGGGCTCGACCAACAGGAGTTGGTCTGATCTCAGGGTCTGGGTGGAGGACAGAGCTGCAGTGACTCCCTCAAATACACTGGACCCATGGAGTGCAAACATTTGAAAACAATAACATTTTAAATTGCACCTGATATAAGAAAAGAGCCAGTGCAGGTCACACAGAACAGTGATGTGTTCAGGGTTTTTAGTATTTGTCACAGACGAGCTGCAGTGTTCTGGACGTGTTGTAAACGCTGCAGGAGCAAAGAGCCGGTGCTAATGTAGAACCCTGAGGCACACCGGACTGTAAAGGACACACAGAAGAGGAGGACTGTCCTAAATTTACAGAAAAACTCCTGTGACAGATAAGAGCAGAACCAACAGAGCTGTGTCCTTAATGTCCACGTGTGTCTCCAGGTGAGACAGAAGGACGCTGTGATCCACCAGGTCTAAAGTGGCTGTTAAGAACAGCAGATTTCCCAGAGTCAGCAGTTAAAAGCAGGTCATTAAAAACTTTTAAAAGAGCCGTTTCTGTACTATGCTGAGATTTAAAACTGCCTGTAGTTGGTCATAAGCAAACTTCTCTAAAACCTTCGATAAAAAGGGCAACTTTGAGACAGGGTCTAAAATTACTAAGAACATTTGGGTCAAGATGAGTCTTTTTGATCTGAATCTAGAGGACAGAAGGAAGACTTTACCTGTTGATCTGTATGTGTGTGTGTGTGTGTGTGTGTGTGTGTGTTGTTAGTTGAATGTGTGTAAGTGTTTTTTGTTGTTATAAATCAGTTTAAAAAGTCTTAAATGATCAAAGATGCTCCATGTTTATCTTTTGTCATATCTGTGCCATAGTTGCCATAGCGACCAGTGTAAATGTCCCGTCTCCTCTGATGGTGCATGTGCACAGGGACATGAGTATCCTGGTTTCTCTGAGCTCATGGAAACACTCTGTCCAGAACAGTGTCATAACCGGGATCCTGCTGCACATGTAAACACACTGACACTTCCACTTTACAAATGAAACACATTTAAGACAAAAGCAGCTTTATTTTCTCATCTATGACGTCATCAGAGACACAACTTTGTCTAAACGGATCTTTTCTGTAGAATCCATTTACAACAAGAATCAAACACACACACACTCCCAGCATCGTCCATCACAAACACACAGGTTTACTCCATCTCCAGAGAATCAGCAAAGAGAACATGAGACAGTCTGTCACTGTCACTGCTGCACACAATCTACAAGATTCAACTATTAAAGCAGAACTCTGCTGCAAAAGGGACTTTTCACACATTTAACCATGTCACACATGTTTCCTTTCTTCTATTTGGACACATTCAACCTGAACATTTACAAAAACACTTTTACCTGAACACATCACCTCCAGACCCCAGGAAGAGAAAGAAGAATCCCAGACACATTCTCTCACTGAAGACTTCTTCACACAGTCAGATGAGACCCTCCACACACGACTCTGTGGAAAATCACGTCTCTGTTCTCCATAAACAGCAGAACCACAGTCCAGGTCTCTGCACACAACAGCTGTGTCCTCCTGGTCCCAGAGTCCAGAGGGACCCACTCGTCTCCACTCTCCTCTGTGTTTCACCTCCACAGTCCCAGCACAGCGACTGGCTCCTCCCACCAACCTGAGCGGCTCTGAACAGACAAGAGACAGAGTGAAGCCCCGCCCCTTTACCTGAGCAGTGAAGCCCCGCCCCTTTACCTGAGCAGGTGAGGTTGACAGTGGCTCCAGAGGAGCAGGTGCTTGAGTTGGAGCGGGGACAGTCCATCAGAGCAGACTCATGTCCCTCACAGTGGAACGTCTGCCCCAGAGGAGAGAGCGCCCCCTGGAGGAGAGAAGGAGCCCCACAGTCCAGCTCCCTGCACAGCACCTCTGCCCCCCGCTGTCCACCTTTTAAGAATTCTGCCTCTTGTATTTAGCAATAATCTCTTTTAGAGCAAACACACATATTTGTGCCCAGCAGAGCCTTAAACCCAAACTGTTTGTCTGTAGATTTAATAAACTGTGAGTTTCTGTCCAGCAGGATTACGAAATCATTTTTGACACTGCGCTGGTTAAAGCTGTAAGTTTGTAATTGTCTGAACTGCCAACTTCCCCAATTTGATCTTTAATGACAGAGACGAGCAACACAGTTAAGAGTCAGGTCAAAATCCATGAACAAGGAAAGTGTGAAACAGATGGAGGCAGTGGTGCTAACCTCACACTTTGTTTGGTGAGAGTGTTAAGAACTTCATGTGACAGAATGACATCTGCATAGTCAACATCATTCAAAATACAAGGTTCACTCTGAACACAGTTAAATAAACTCCTGTGATGCCGACGCCAAAGCTCCAAAATGTTCAGTGTCAGAGGTGCATCTATTGCACATGGCAGTGAGGGTTTTCTGCCACTCATCCTTTTTACTTCTTTCCAAAAGTCAAAGGTGTTGTTACAAGAGAGTTTTCTTGCCATTGAGTCTGGCTCTCGTAGCTCGTTCATTCTTGGTTATAAAACACACTGCAAACTTATATTGATCATTTGTGACCCTCTTTTGTTCATAAACAGGACCATGTCTTGGTCTTCCTGCCATTATCCACTCCTGGGAAACCTCTCGTTAGTTATCTTCAAATTCAGCCACATGGACATTCCAGCCTGGCCTTTCTTTCTTTGTAGTTTTTGTTTTTTTGAAGGAAACCACTTGCCTGAAGCAGCACATGGACAGTCTCATCATACATGACACTAACAGTCGATCTGTGTTCAGATGTTTTGCAGTTGTCGTCCCTGCACATGACTGCTTCCTTGAGCAGGTGGAGATTTCTAAGCAGATTATCAGTGCTCACAGAATAGAACAAAATGTCTTGTCTTGATAGAGAATTCCAATCTAAACAGACTGCATCACTTATGTTTTGGTACATTTCAACGGTAGAGACTGACATTTTATTTCCATCCCAAATGGAATGTGATCAGATGTTGAGAACTCATCAAATATGTTCATGTCTGTCAGTGATGCATGTGCATCTGCTGCAGCTAAACAGTGTCCAACCAAGAAGTGGTGAGTCACGCCTCACTTATGTCTGTAAAACTATCTGCAGGCAAGAAGACCTTTGTATTAAACCATTATCCTCACAAAACTGGTTCAGGTGATTGACAAACACAGATTTACCGTCCGTAATGTCTGAATTAAAATCTCCAATTACAGGCACATTTGAGAACTTCTTCTTCTGCACAAATGAATGAATAAAAGCCAGTGTATTAAGATATTCAGTCTCATTAAGTTGCTTTCATATGGGGTGGAAACATTTAAATAACACATTCCTTGTCATTTTGTGTAAGGTGGATCACTTTACACCAGTCCACTTCAAGTCTGATTATATTAATAAAAGAGTCAAGTCTTATTCCAGAGGATTGAAACTCCACCAGGAACTCGTCCTCTTATTATTATTATTCTTATTCCATCACCAGTATCGACGCAGGACTCACCAGCTCCGTGAAAATGATGGTTCAGTGAGTTCAATCCTTCCAAATCCTGCTTCATCAAGAATGTCTCTTGTAAACACATCACATTGACTCAACAGGTGATCCACAACCAGCCTGTTTCCTCTGCATCTGTCCCAACTGTATGAAATGACTTTTAAGTTCATATCTAAAAGTTTTCACGCCTCCTTGCCACAGGTCAGTGGAGCCTCACTCGTCTGCGCAGCCACACCGGCTCAGTGAGGGACACCCAGGCTATTGTTAGTGCCAACACAAGCCCTGTTGTGTGGCTCATAAAAACGCCACATACACGTGCCCACTGGCCAAATCTCCGGATTATACATTTCTGACACATCTTTACATTCAGCCGTAACTTTAAAAGAGGCAAATCTACCGTTGTTAGTGGCTATTTTCTGGCGCCCCTCACGGCTCAGTTGAGTTTGCAGATAATCAGATCATGTTTGGGCGTCTAAGTCAGGTGAGAATTTGGAGGCGAAAACACTCACCAGTTCAGTTGTCACCGTCTTTATGTGGCTCGCTGCTCCCGTGCCCACGATCCCCAAACGATCCCCAAACGATCCCCAAACGATCCCCAAACGATCCCCAAACGATCCCCAAACGATCCCCAAACGATCACAAAACGATCCCCAAACGATCCCCAAACGATCCCCAAACGATCCCCAAACGATCCCAAACGATCAAACGATCACCAAACGATCACCAAACGATCACCAAACGATCACCAAACGCGCACAACCGTCATGCCCCCGGCTGACGCTGCCCCTTTTTAACGACACCGCTCCACTTTGGGGATCCCGGTGGTTGCAAGATTTTGGCTGCAACAGTTCAGTTCCCTCCCCGCAGTCTGGCTGAGGCTCCGTCTTCTTCTCGTTCCCGTAGAGAAGCAGTCGCGCCACAGCCTCGGTCACCTGCGTAGTCCTGGTCTCCACATCCACCGTGGAGCCGCCACCTTTGTCACCGCAGGGGGGGGGGGGTCCAGCGCCGCTGAGCCACGTGCCACATCTGCGACACACTCCAGGCTCCACACCTGGCGGTTCACATCGGTTGTAACCGCGTGGAGATGCACGTGTACCTTTACGTCGGCCTGGAGCTGCTCCATGTTGTTGAGCAGGACGCGCTTGAAAATGTCACACGAGGCAAATCAAAATTTCATTCACACATTCGTCCACTCATACGGATGAGGTTTTTCTGGATTATTTCCCCACATGAAATTATTTTATGGAAAAAACAACTTAATATTCTTGTTCTGTGGATTGTTAAGGACTAATTGAAGAACAACTTCTCCTGGACTGAACGTGTTTTGGACACAACCGCTCGAAGTAAGAAACGTGTATCTCATTCTTTGTTTATGATGTGGATCATGTTTTGGGCTCGTTGTGCAGCATAAAATGAATGATATGGTTGTTTTATTGAGAAAATAAACTTTCAAACGATGTATGGCCAGTAGTGAAAACAATAATGAAGGTGAACATTTTCTGTTGCAGAATCGCCCGCGGGCAGGAACTTTCAGGACAGGATCAGTCGAGACTTGAACATGGTTGAGTTTAGTGCAACAGCAACATGTTCTAAAACCAACAGATCATTTATACAAATAAAAAACAAATGTCCCCAGGCAGCAGCTTCCTTCTGGTTCCCCACAGCACAGAGTATTTCAGAGTATTTCAGAGTATTTCAGAGTATTTCAGAGTATTTCAGAGTATTTCAGAGTTTTTCTCTCACAGCAGCTTCTGTTCAACAGCACAGAACATTTTCTACTGACACTTTCTGAAAACGTTTGATCCACTGAGCTGCAGAAACCCAAAACAAACTCACCCAACAGTAAATCATGATCAAGTAAATCAAATGCTGCACTTAAACCTCATAATTCAGTCTCAATTATGTTTTTATTTTCTATTTCATTTATCTCCATTATTTTACGTCTAAACTTAATAACTCATGAATTATGTAACAACTGGGCAGAGAAATTGTACCTGACATCAACTTTAGCATTTGATTTTTGATTGTTGAACTCGATTGCAGATTCTTTAGTCTAGAAATCATGTTTTTTTTTTTTTTGCATAAATTTTGAATTTTATTCTTGAAATAATCACTTAAATAATTCGTAGTATCAATTGGTTTGGTCAGAAAAGACAGAATCCTCTACTTCCAAAATGTTGGAGCAGATTTCTTCTTCCGTCTCATGAATTCATTTAGTCTGTTCCAGATTTTACTGCACAAATGTATTTCCATAATAAACCCGTTTCTTTGATCTTTTAGTTTGGTCGCATCATTTAATCTCAGATTCTTGTACTTGTCCCACACTGCTCTGTTTTCTGATGAAGCTGCTTCACTTTAAATCATCTCTTTGCTTCATGTTCCCTTTAAGTTCAGGATCTAACGGGGGACGTGTTGTTTCTTACTGTTCTTTTTCTCAGTGGAGCCTGTTTGTTTGTTGATTATTGACATGATTAAATCAGTAAAAACCTCCAATGCTCTTTCTGGATCATCCTCCAATAAAACTTGTGACCGATCAACATTTATGATCTTCCACAACTCGTTTCATCAGATTTTTAAAATATCTGTTTAATAAGAATATTCTGCCCTGATGTGAGGACTTTGGTCTTTCTGTTGACGACAGTTAAATGATGATCACTAAAACAACACAAAGTGAAATCACAAACTGAACATAAAACTGATCAATGTGGAAACATTAAATCAACACATGAGGCAGTTTGTGTCCCGTCTGTAAAAGACTTCAGTTTGTTTTCTTGTTTTGTTGTAAGTGTCTGTAAGAAATTAAAGATTATTTTTCAAAGAGAAATTATTTCAACTCCAATCAATATTTACATCACCTAAAAATAAATCTCCTTATTTAAGTCACAAACTTTATCAAACACATCACAGAACCGATCGAAGAAACTGTTGGAGCGTTTGGAGGCCGACAGCAACTTCCATAAGAACACAGACCGGACCCGGTCTTTACCGGAGGAGTCCGAGACCGGACCCGGTCTTTACCGGAGTCCGAGGACCGGACCCGGTCTTTACCGGAGTCCGAGACCGGACCCGGTCTTTACCGGAGTCCCGGACCGACCGGACCGGACCCGGTCTTTACCGGAGTCTGATCCTGAACACAAAACGACACTACACACACTTTCTGACTTTCTGTCATGTCTAAATAAATTTTTTTCTATTTACATATAAAAAGAGACGATCAACAGGTGCATCCAAATACACTTCAGATCTACTTCAGTCCTGGTTTAGTCCTGGTTCAGTCCTGGTTTAGTCCTGGTTTAGTCCTGGTTCAGTCCTGGTTTAGTCCTGGTTTAGTCCTGGTTCAGTCCTGGTTTAGTCCTGGTTTAGTCCTGGTTTAGTCCTGGTTCAGTCCTGGTTTAGTCCTGGTTCAGTCCTGGTTTAGTCCTGGTGTCCTGGTTGTCCTGGTTTAGTCCTGGTTTAGTCCTGGTTCAGTCTGGTTTAGTCCTGGTTGTCCTAGTCAGTTGGTTAGTCCTAGTTTAAGTTGTGTAGTCTGGTTCAGTTGATTAGTTGTATTGTAAGTTACTTTGTTTTGTGTTTTTATTACTTATTACTGTCATTTCAAAGTAATTCGTTACATTACAATATTACTGCATTTAAAATGTAAAACATTACATTACTATTGCATTACTTTAAGTTACTCTCACCAAAATAACTTTTGCGCTGTATATGGACTGAACCAGGACTAAACCAGGTCTAAACCAGGACTAAACCAGGACTAAACCAGGACTAAACCAGGACTAAACCAGAAAACCTGAACCAGGTCTAACCAGGACTGAAACCAGGACTGAACAGGAACCAGGACTAAACCAGAACTAAACCAGGACTGAACCAGGACTAAACCAGGACTAAACCAGGACTAAACCAGAGCTGAACCAGGACTAAACCAGGACTAAACCAGGACTAAACCAGAGCTGAACCAGGTCTAAACCAGAACTGAACTAGGACTAAAACAGGACTCACTGTAGGGACGGGTTCGGAGGTGACGCAGGAGAAAGGAGCGGCTCTGCTCCACACCTCACGGAGGTTAGGGTTATGGGTTATGGGTTATGGGTTTATGGACCCTGCTGCTCGGGCTCGCGGCCCTGATTTCAGCAACTATTTGCAGGAACCTGAGCCGGTGCAGGACTCTGCTACAGCCGTGCAACTTCTACCTTCCTTCAGCGTGTCCAGAAGTCCAACTTTTTGTGTGATGTTACATCGTCCTCTGTCTTTTGGGTGTGAGCGCAGGAGACTTTGTCGGTGCAGAACGTTTCTGGATAAAGTCTGTGAAGTGACGATGTATTTTTGACAGTAAAATTCCGTCTGTGAATTCGTATTCGTACTGATGAAAGTTTAATCGTAAATGTTCATTTGGTGATTTTTAATTCATGACATCGTAATTTTTCAATTCGTATTCTGATGATAAAATACACACAATATATTTTATGTACGACTGGACTCATTTAAAAGTTTACAAATATTTATTTTATGCACAACTACAGACAAATATGCACCGATTTCTATTTTACGCGCACGAATATTTTTGACAGCTTCTTACTCCATACATTTCCCATAAAATATTTTGTGGTTTTACCTGAATCGTTCTCGTGTGAACAGGACCTGAAGCTCCTGAATCAAACTCACTCTGAGCTTTAAGTCTAATGTTCCTCCTCAAAAACACAACTGGACTTGTGTTTGAGTAAATCTTTATTCTGAGTCTCTTACATCTGCAAAGCTCCAAACGCTCTGCTCCACCTTGTGATGTCATCAAGTGTTTGTCTTCAAGTTCTCAGCTCCTCCTCCCTTTAGTTCAGTCGAGTTCGTCAGGTCCAGGACTGAAGTAGTGATGGTTTAAACGAGCCGAGGCACAGATACACGTGTCATGCACTGAAAGCATCGCCTCAGTTGAGCCGCGTCACTGTGCGTCTCGTTTAAGAAAAGTCACATGACCGACACAGTGACGGTGTCGTGTTCTGTCACATTGTGTCACGTGTCATTGAGGCGTCAGTTCGACAGGACAGATCGAGCCACTCGCTGCTACGACGCCGTTCGTCACTGTGGAGCCTCCAAGAAAGAGAAAGTTTTCTTCTGTGTGGATCATTTTGATCTTAACACCTGAGAAGGTCATTTATGTTCCATTCCCGTTTCCACGGAGACAAAGTCTTTTATAAATATTTTTATGACCCACAGGTGAAATGTCAATGCTCAACAGAGTCGTCCTGTGCAACTCGAAACACATCATCAATGCTCCGGCATCACAGCTCGTCATGACAGAGACAGAAGACACCAGGACTGGACACTGGAGGATCAGTATTTTGTCATCAGTCACTAATTATTATGGATCTAATCTAAATCAAACACCTTTACTTTTCAATTCAAGCTTATTGAAAAGAGACTCTAAGTCGATGCTTTGTAAATATTATAATAAAATATTGCCAACCTTTAAGCATCGTTGAGGATTCAGGGAGATGCTGCAGATCCTTGAGTCGTCACACAAAAAACCAACCAGGAAGGAGCTGAATATGTCAGAAACTCCACCGAACATTAACAGTTTAAATTCTTCTTCTTCTTGTTTGAACAACACCACAGGAAGATCAGCCTGGCCCCTCATCTCCTCATCAGCATCTTCTAGTTCAGGTTTGTATTCATTTGTTCAGAATGTATTTATTGATATTTAGGATTTACATTTTATGCAAATCATGTCATGTTTTGTAGACGACCTGTGGCAACAACTGGACATGGACGCGTCTCCGAGCAGAAGAAACAGCAGTTTTATGGCTGATGCTGTAACAGACGTTCAGAGAAACTGTCAGCAGCAAACAGTCCCACAACTGAAGACCCACTGGAATATCAGAATTCTGTGTTTGTGTTTTTTGTGTTTCTGTTGTTTCGCAGGATTAAATGAGACACAACAAAGTCACAATAAAATATTTATTTTTAGTGAGTCCAACTTTTCAAAAAAAACAAAAACAAAACAAACAAAAAAACAGCGTCTTTTTACAGCAACAACTTTTACAACTGTGTCCTGAACCTGGACCAGACCTGGTTTAGTTCAACTGGTCTGAACCAGATCTGGAGCAGGTCTGTAGTGTCGTTAGTTTTGGACATATTTTTATAAATCTATTTACAGCTCAGACTTTGTACAAGTTTGATAAAAAGAGCCACAGCGCCTCTAGTGTCCAATAAAGTGTCGACTCGAGGGATTTTCACCCACCCACTTCCACAATGAAACCTCTTATTTAACAGGAGCTTTTTCTACATTTGTGTGGTGAAAATCTCTGACGTCTCAAAGTTTTGACTCATTTTTCAGCTTTGACAAAAAAAAAAAAAAAAAGACTAAAAACAGGAAAAATCTGTAAAAATCTGCCTCGACTAAAATCCATTTACACCAAAATAAAATGAGACAAACGTGAACCGTCCTCCAGCCAGGCGCTCCCCCGACACGTGAGTCCACAGCTGACAGGTGCAGGTGCAGGTGCGGTCCTGTGCCCCTGACAGGTGCAGAAGTCTGGCCTGAGCTAGCTCGTAGCGTTAGCGTGGTTTTCAACATTCTTTCCTAAAATAAGTTAAAGTGAACGTTTCATTTACACCATTTACAAAAGTCCAAATGAGAGAAACACGACAGGGGCAGACAGGGACAGACAGGGACACAGTGCACTGGACCTGCCCTGTCACCTGAAGCTAAACTACTGTTGTGCCCCTGAGCAAGACACGTGTGCAGCTCAGAGTCCAGAGTTTAACGAATGAGGCTGTTTTAAAATGACAAAGATTAGTGTCAAACGAGACTCCGCCCCCAGCCCCTGTCATACGAGACTCCGCCCCCAGCCCCTGTCATACGAGACTCCGCCCCCAGCCCCTGTCAAACAAACTTTCCAAATAAACTTCAGGAGCCAGAGTTCAGAGGGGGTCAGAGGAGCAGCCCCTCCTCTGTCAGTCTGCCCCAGGGCGGCTCTGGCAGACTGAGGTGGGTGGAGTTCAGTTGGTGCTCGTCACCCACGTCACCCACGTCACCCTCGTCACCCTCGTCACCCACGTCACCCTCGTCACCCTCGTCACCCACGTCACCCACGTCACCCTCGTCACCCTCGTCACCCTCGTCACCCTCGTCACCCTCGTCACCCTCGTCACCCTCGTCACCCACGTCACCCACGTCACCCACGTCACCCACGTCACCCTCGTCACCCTCGTCACCCACGTCACCCTCGTCACCCTCGTCACCCTCGTCACCCTCGTCACCCTCGTCACCCTCGTCACCCACGTCACCCACGTCACCCGTCACCCTCGTCACCCACGTCACCCTCGTCACCCTCGTCACCCTCGTCACCCTCGTCACCCTCGTCACCCTCGTCACCCTCGTCACCCTCGTCACCCTCGTCACCCACGTCACCCTCGTCACCCTCGTCACCCACGTCACCCACGTCACCCACGTCACCCACGTCACCCTCGTCACCCACGTCACCCACGTCACCCTCGTCACCCACGTCACCCACGTCGATGTTTGAGCGTTACAGATGAACGGGCTCGAGGTTTTACAGACGCTCACAGACGAGATCCATCGTTTGTGAAAGACGATGGGCGGGACGCCCGGCGAGACGAGGGTGGGCGCTTTCAGTTTGT